TCTTGGCCTTTTATGATGTCATTAAGAACAGATATCCCTAATATGGTCAGTTGAAGCTGTGAAAAAAGGGTAGCCAATCAGATAAAAGTTTCCTTAAATGCAGGCTGGCCTTAAAAGAAAAACGGGAGTTAAATAGCTTGTTTCAGATAGTGGCTGCACTAAAGCCTGGCATAAGATAAAATAAGGGTTATTTTTTTGAATTACGACTCATGCAAAGCATCTCTATTAAAATATGGATTTGTTAAAAAGTGTGGTGTCTTCAAACAAACACGCATAAGTACACAAAGGGTTCCCTGCCTTTTATCCAGTGCTCATGAATCTGTGTGTCTTGATGACAAGAAATTAGTGTGCGTTACTTAACATAAACCTGAAAAGATTTAAATCCCAGTGAGAAAATAAATAAAACATGGAAGAACAGCTGCTGTGGTAGTTCATTTGATCTTCTTTGGTGGGACACGCCCATTTGAGCACAAAATTATCTACATTTTAGGTACGCTGTCATGCACACAATCTGCTTACCATGTAGTATCCAGGCAGCAGCTTCTGTAAGAATTCAGCCTCCTTGTGCATCACAGTCTTGATGATGAACTCATCGTCCTTTGTAAGGTAGAAGACTGAGCCACTCGCTCCAGGATTGGATAGCTCGATCAGAGGCTCGTTGCACAGGGAGTACTGCAGGGTTACACACAGAAAAATGACCAATGTTATGAAAAAGTTAAACAAAACAACTATAAATAAAACTTTAAATAGATGAGAAAGAATATTGACCTAATTTGACCTTACAATTGTTTACATAGAGGATATAGTACTAAGTAAAAGTACACTGAATTAGCTGTTAGTAGTACTTGTCTGCAAGATGCTCAAATTGTACTACTCTGAAACTGAACGGAACTTCGTAGACAAGTTACAGAAAACATGTTTTTTTTTTTTAAAGTTGCAGTGTATTTGACAAAGTCATGGAACATGATCATTTCTTCAGTCAGTGTGAGTCACAGTGAGTCAGTAAATTGTTAACGGTGTTCAGATTTGACTGAGCCATGACTCAGAAGAGTTCGCCTAAGTACTTTAATTGCTTCCATAAGCTCTGTATCACAGCCGCTGCTGCTGCCATAAAAGTGGAATTGGCTGAGTGGACCGAATCCTTTTCACCTCTCCCCGCATAGATCCCCCTTAACCCTTCCCATCTGGTTCTTTTAGATTACTGCAATCCACGCAAATGCTACCAGTGGAACACGAAAAAGCACAGAAAAATAATTAGGGCACTTCATTATACATCTCCTCTGATACCTCCCTGTTAACAACTCATTAATGAAGAATACCACGCTGACTAGAACTCTCTGGCTCTCTGGGGATCAAATCTATAAATTAGGAGTTGCCTGCAGTGCTGATAATAAACATAAACACTGGAAATCAAACACAAACATCAGCATGCTGAGACACAGAGCCCAAGTTTGAATATTAATAAAACACAAAAGGCCATAGGACATATAAGGACATAGAATAAATATATATTTTACAGAATTACAATGGAAACAAACACAAAGCTGAAAGAACATGTTTTTAAAATTCCAACGTTGTAACCTTTTTTATACAAACACTCCCCATCTAACTTCTGCTAATTACTGTGAAGCTGACTAGGAATAGCAATAAGCAAACAGTTGGGAGGCTCATCTTCACACTAGGGCTGTCTGATATAAAGATATATATCGGATAACGATATAAAAACGTCTATCGTTTCATTTTACACTATTGTTTGTTTTGTGGTGTCATAAAATAAACTGTTTACGGCAATATTTTTTCATCGTTTTGATGGTCACTGTAGTGGCTATATTAATTTCCAAAGTTCTCTCTTTGTTTTATTTTTAATATAACCACACCACAGATGGACAAGCCCCTGTTTTTATGCATTGTCATTAGCAACAACGACGGCAAAACCATCGCGTGTCCGCTGGTTTAGTTTCCACATTAACCTTTCACAATAAAGTTCAAGATCCTGTTGAGACTTTTCAAAATAAACTGAATCACGTGAAAGAGCAGATTATTTACGGATGAGAAGTAAAAAAGAGCCG